GGCCTTGAGGGCCGCCTTCATGGAGCGATGAAAGCGCTCGCAGAGGCCGTTAGCCTGAGGGTGGTAAGCGGTAGTCCTGTGCAGCTTAACCCCCAAACCGCCTGCCACAGCGTTCCAGAGCTCGGACGTGAACTGAGAGCCCCTGTCTGAGGAAATGTCTGACGGGGTGCCAAAACAACACACCCACGTTGCAATGAAGGCCCGGGCAACGTCTGCGGCTGATGTCGAAACGAGCGGAACCGCCTCCGGCCAACGGGTCGTTCTGTCCACCATGGTGAGGAGGTAGGAAAACCCCTGAGAGGAAGGCAACGGACCAACCAGGTCAATGTTGACGTGATCAAACCTCCTCTCAGGCACCAGGAAACGCTCCAACGGGGCCTTCGTGTGGCGGTGCACCTTAGCGCGTTGACAAGCCACGCACTCCCTGGCCCAAGTCCTCACGTCCCTTTTCAGTCCTTGCCAAACGAACTTCGCCACTACCAAACGCACCGAAGGTTTAACGCCGGGGTGTGACAGGCCGTGCACAGCCTCGAACACAGGACGCCTCCAGCTGGCAGGGACGACAGGCCGCGCCAGGCCCGTAGAGACGTCACACAGGAGAGTAATGCCCGCGTCGCCGAACACCACGTCCTCCAAGCGCAGCCCCGCGCTCTCCACCTTCAGGGCCTGGACGCCGGGATCTGTGACCTGGTCTGCCGCCATGCGAGTATAGTCCAGGCCCAACTGGACGGCACCGATGACGACCCTGGAGAGGCAATCAGCAACCAGGTTTGACTTGCCAGCCACGTGCTTAATGTCCGTAGTGAACTCCGATATGTAGGACAGCTGCCGCTGCTGACGTGCCGACCAAGGCTCCGCCACTTTTGACATGGCGAAGGTGAGCGGCTTGTGGTCGACAAACGCCGTCAATTCACGGCCTTCCAGCATGAAACGGAAGTGCCGCACGGCCAAATAAAGTCCGAGGAGCTCCCGGTCAAAGGCGCTGTATTTGCGTTCTCTAGGCGTCAGCTGGCGGCTGAAAAAGGCGAGCGGCTGCCAAGCGCCCTCCACCCACTGCTCGTGCACTGCGCCGACCGCGTAGTCTGACGCGTCCGTGGTGATGGAGATGGGAGCCGTAGATGATGGGTGTGCCAGCAAAGCCGCCTGAGCCAACGCGGTCTTGACCTCAGCAAAAGCGCCGTCCGCCTCTGCTGTCCAGTCGGTCTCCTGGACGGGGGTCTTGCCTTTCAACGCTTCATACAGCGGCCGCATGATGTGTGCGGCCCGGGCGATGAAACGGTGGTAGAAAGTCACCATCCCCAGAAACTCACGGAGCGACCGGGCTGTGAGCGGGCGAGGAAACGCCGCAACAGCCTCCACCTTCGCTGGCAGAGGTGTCGCACCGCCCTTGGTGACGCGGTGCCCCAGGAAATCGATGTCCGACACCCCGAACTGGCACTTTGCAGGATTGATGATTAATCCGTGTTCGTTGAGCCGTGTGAAAAGAGCTCGGAGGTGGGACAGATGCTCCTGCACTGAAGCGCTGGCGACGAGTATGTCGTCGAGGTAAACAAACACAAACGGCAGGTCCCGCAGCACCGAATCCATCAGGCGCTGGAACGTCTGAGCGGCATTCTTGAGTCCAAAAGGCATCCGCAGGAACTCAAAAAGTCCAAAAGGCGTTATCACTGCTGTCTTGGGAATGTCCAGGGGGTGCATGGGCACCTGGTGGTATCCACGCACCAGGTCCACCTTGGAAAACACCCCCGTACCGGCCAGATGCGCCGAAAAGTCCTGAATGTGCGGCACCGGATAGCGGTCAGGCGTAGTGGCGTCGTTGAGTCGGCGGTAATCCCCGCACGGGCAGAACCCGCCGTTCGATTTGGGAACGACGTGCAGGGGGGAAGCCCAAGGACTGTCGGAGCGGCGGACAATGCCCAGGCGCTCCATGGTTGCGAACTCCGCCCTCGCTACAGCCAGCTTAGAAGGGTTCAACCGGGGCCCTGGCGTAGACAGGAGGCCCCCCCGGTAGTGACGTGGTGTTCCACGCCATGCTTAGTGGTAAGCGCAGAGAAGGTGGGTAGCGACAGGTCTGAAAACTCGGCCAACAGTCTGAGAAACGTGTCTGCACCTGACAGCGAGCCTGACAGCCCGTCGTACGCTGCGCTGCCAAGTATGCACACGAGGGAAGAAAACGTTAAGGCATCAACCAAACGCCTATTCTTAACGTCCACTAAGAGTCCATGAGCACACAAAAAATCCGCTCCGAGGAGGGGAAAAGAAATGTCCGCTGTCACAAAATCCCAGCTGAAACGCTGTCCTCCGATGCACAAACACATAGGCCTCACGCCGTACGTGCGAATGGGACTGCCGTTAGCCGTCGTCAATCGCGGTCCGTGCCCCCCACGGGCGACGTCTTCACTCGACGCTGGAACTACGCTCCGTTGAGCGCCCGTGTCACACAGAAACAAGCTCCCCGAAACGCTGTCGCTAACGAAGAGGAGCCTGCACGTGCCGCCGACGCTCAGAGCCACTACTGAGCGCCGGCCCCTCCGTTTCCCGGGGGTTTGTAGCTGCACGGAGCGATGCATCTATTCGCCCTTGTCCCTAAACGTGCGTGGTAAACGCACTCTCCGGCGTCTCCACGCCGGCTAGCCACAGCCGTGTCCGGCCTCCGCCACGCTTTCTTGACTGCCGGTGGGCCGCTGAGCGTCGCGGCTAACGTCTCTGCCCCGGGCTGTTGCGTAGCCAGGAAAAAACGATCCGCTTCCTCAGCCAAAGCACGGGGCTCCGTGACAGGCGTGTTGGTCAGCGCCGTCTGTACCCGGGGAGGCAAGTGACGCAGGAAAATCTCCGTGAATAAAATCCGGGGATCTTCCCCCCCTAGCAGATTTAGCATTTTCTCCATTAGCTGGGATGGCTTGCTGTCTCCTAGGCCTTGAATGTCAAGTATCTGGCGGGCCCTCTCCTTAGCAGATAAGCTAAATGTCTTAAGGAGAAGGGCCTTAATCGCCTCATATTTGCCATGATGTGGGGGGGCTGCGATGAATCCCACCAACCTGGACGACGTGGAGCTCCCCAGCGCTGCTACCACATGGTAGTATTTTAGGTCCCCGTCACGGACCTGTCGGCAGGCGAAATTTGCCTCCACGTGTGCGAACCATGCCTCCGCGGCGTGCTCCCAGAATTCCGGCAGCTTTATGAAAACATCGCGCTCAGCCATGTTCGTTAATTTTCCGGAAACTTTCTCGGAAAAGTCAGGGTCACCAGTGTAGTGCCGTGAAAAGAGAGTCGGAGGCGGTGTATTAAGAATGGAGTTCCAATCTTTATTATCCATTACTTTCAGAGAGGTTAACACATGCACTGCTCTGCCTGATGAGCTAGCAGGAATGGCAGCTAAAGCTACAGGTGTTCCCCACTAAAGGGTCCGTGTGGCAATACAATAAGCAAGGTGAATTATGTCCAATAACGTGTCACCACAATACTCGCATTTTAGACTATGTTACTAACTGTATATCTGTAGACTTGGTATGTCTTAAATGTCCGGTTAGGATGTATTAGAACGAAATCTAAAATGAAAATTGTAAATAAGCAATCTGTATGTAAAAAACCACCTGTATGTAAATTGTAAATAAGCCATCTGTATGTCAAATATGTCTTATATGTCTTAAATGATATGATGAATTGGAAATGGGGGACCCTGATGTAAACAAGACGAAAGTCTTTTTCTGGTCTGCATCCCCTTAACAATTGTATGTTTTGAGCTGTACTGTACTGTACCCAATATACAAGCTGTTAATAAACTTTTCAATCAATCAATCAATCAGCGAGCGTCTCCTTGATCTCATCAGCTGTCTGGAAGAGAGGAGACTGAGGAGAGTGAAACAAAGAGAAGAGCTCATATACAAATCTTAACTTGTCTTCCATTTGGTGTGTGCACTGCAATTGGAGGGTTAAAGCTATTAACATATCCCTTAACTTAAATTAAAATGTATATCCTTGACATCGGCCCTTCATTTTTCGTTTTTTGAAAAGCCTGAAATTGACATCATAGGCGCTGAGGGACATCATCCTCATGGGAAAGTGAGAGCATGTTCTAATTTTAAGCAATGTGAGGCCACAGATGGGGAAAATTTACTGTGGTCCCACTTTCAAATCCAGGCTGTTTATCTGGTCGTTAGCGACCCCTGCTGTTCACCCATGATGCAAATTTACAAAGATTTGATAAATCTACACATGACTCAACCTTATGGTACAGAGAAACAGGAGTATGATTCTTTTTTAATTAAATTCGGCTTAATTAAAATTCTTTCAACAACAAAACAATTAAAAAAATATATAAAAATGGAAAGACAATGTTATGACTTGTTTTATGTGTTAACAAGTTTAAAGTATGAATATATGTGTAATTCACTTAAAAAATCCAGTGCTATTTGGAGTAATTTGTATTTATTTAAGTTAGTGTCCAGTTGACCATATTTAATCTATAAATGTTCAATGAATTAATTTTGTATTTTTCATGTTCAATATGTAATTACTTTTTCCACTAAATGCCGTTACTAAATACTGTACACAAAAGATATGCCTAATCTTTTATTAAATGTATACGATGGCATAACAAAAGCGTAACATTTTCTGGTTCACCATTTTTTTTTAAAAGTCAATTATATATCTAAATATTTGGAGAAATAATCATTTACTTTTTTGGATAGATATATTGAGTAAAAGTGTAATTGTTGTATTCAATAGCATATATGAAGCACTTATATGTTGTATACAAAACATTGGACACCAGGGGTAAACATATAAAGTAATAAAAGAACACATTTAAAAATAGAAATACTGTTTACTTTCGCCTATCAATAATTGCGTCACTTCCGGATGCGGTCAGCTGACTGTGGTCATGTGGCGTTTAAAGTCAGAGGAGCTCCCACGGAGAATTGAGTGAACAACAACCGGGGTTCCTTCAAACAAACAACAGCTCGGTGTTCCCGGTGTGTTTGTCCCGCTCACACTGCATCATGGCCTGGACTAAATACCAGCTGTTCCTCGCTGGACTTATGCTAACAACCGGCTCTCTCAACACATTATCGGCAAAGTGAGTATAGTAGATTAGATTATACTGGAGTCATGTATTTACAGTTAACCTTTCACTGTAATTCACCGGTAAAACAGCTGGTACACAGTTGAAACACTGCACGTCAATGGTTGTTAGTTTAAGTGCTTTTTTAGCGAATTATCAAGCTAGTATAGAGCCACACTAGCTTATTTATTACATGTTTAACTATTATTATCTGTTAACGCATTGTTAGCCGTCTGTAAAGCTAACAGGCTAATAAACATCCATATCAGGCTGAGTGAAAGGAAGCTACAGAAAGCTAATGTGTGTGAGGATATCAATTAGGATTTTTTTTTGACAAACTTAATAAGATTGCTGCCAGGAAGCAATTCATTATGCGCAGACTATAGTGAAATGACTGAAGTTATCTCACATGATCTTGCTCTGTAATGGTATAACGCCTTTATCACGCGCTATCTGTGTTTTAGACAAAGGGAATAGCCTCTTTCTGTAGGTCACAGGTAAATCCAGCAGCCGACAGACATTTTCATCTCTATAAAGACTAGACTTTGGACTTTCACTTTAATTTAATCAGAAAATAGTATTAAAAAACGTGATGTGTTTTAAAATGACTTGTTTTGTTCAAAGAATAGTCCAAAATGCACCTTTTATGTTCAATGAGAGAAACATCTGTTTGGTTGTGATATGACTTTTTAAACTTTCAATGTGGCTTTTATAATTGCTCATGCAAACCCAAAAACCCAGTCCTGCCTTTTGCACATAAATCATTGATAATGCAGTATTTTTTAAATTATTTTCTGAAACATTTTTGTTGAGATCATTTTCTGTGGAAAGTTTGATTTGAAATGCCAACCATTATCCTAGTAAGAGCTGCAAATGTGTTTTATTTTGTAACCATTAACCTGCAGATACATTTTTCAATGTATCTGTTTTACCGTTTGACCTTTAGAAATATGTCCAAATCCCAAAAAGATTATTTTGTATTTTATTCTTGATGGATAGCTTGAATTATTTATTGCACTAATTTATCACACTGATTCATTTGAGTCCTCTATTATTGCTGTCACGATAGGAAGAGGTTTCCTTTTTTGGTGAAACAAGAAACTCAGCTATTTTAACTTCCCCAATAATCTGTGATGTCAGCTCTCTGCAGCCTGAAACACGCGGCTGCTGTCTTTTTGTGAGTTTTGCCAGATGAACAAAACCCCAAAATGTTAAATGAATCACTGTTTGAGTGGTAATGTGTCAGACAAAGCAAGTTGTGTCATGTCGCTCAGAGAAGAATATCAGAAACAAACAGGTAGAGTTTCACTGCAGTCACCTGACACCAGCGTCGTCACAGCGCTGCCTCACTGAGTTTATTAAAGCCCTACATAGCATTTAGACTGGTTGATAGTTTGATGTTACTTCCCTCTTTGCTTTAATGCAAAAATATGTGACCAGTGTCCACAAAATAAGCAGGAGTAGCAGATTTGGATCAAGTTTCCTTCTTGTATTGATGAGCTCAGAAGTTGTGACATTTGAAGGAAGTGCTGCGTCATCACATCTCAGGACCACATTCCCTTGTCTTGCATTTTGCAGCAGACAGGATGCTCACATGCTGATCATGCTTCCTCCGACTCTCTGACAATAAAAGATGCTCTTACTCATTAACTTCATCAAATCATTTGGTCTGACTTTACAGGGTTTTATGTGCGGGAGCAGTGGAACAAATGTTAGCTGTTGGTCAGGAAGACTTCCAAATGTTTGCTGCACATTACAACTCATTTTCAGACCCACATAGATGTTTTAAATGTACTGAAATAGGTACAGATATAGTGGGTGTAGATCTGAGTTGTTTTCCATTTATCAGTTTCCAGATTTGATTAATAAAATATCAGAAAAAAGTGAAAAATACATGGGATCATTTTCTTACAGCCTAAAAAATTCATAAACAACACATATTTCCAGTTGAATATGATGTATGAATCACAAAGATAGCAAGGTGTTTTATATGCTTACTTGGATTTATGAAGTAGATGTAATTACATTTTAATAACGTCTACTTGTCTGACAGATGGGCGGACATGTTCTCAGCGAAGGGATGCCATGATGACCCCGAACATGCTTTTGCTCACCCGTTTGTTCAGGTAAATTAAAAACTAAAATGTGACTGTATTGTATCCCATTTGCCCAAAGAAGGGAAAAAACGGTTGAACCTCAATTATTTCTTGGTACACACAAAGTGTGTCTGTAACACAACTAGAAAATGCATTTCCTGCTGAAAATATAGAAAAAGCTGAATATTGTATTAGTTGAATGGTCTCTCTCTGTAGCTGCTTTTAGCTACAGAGACCAAGTAAATGTGTTGCTGAACTTAGCGGAGAAAATGCAGAAAAGTTAAATGGTTTTAATTAAAATTGTTACAGCTCAAATGCATTGTAATGACTTTGTTGAAAACTTGAAATGTTAAACTGGAAGAGTAGGAAAAAAAGTGAAGGTTTAAAAAAGCTATAAACAACTACATGTATAGCCTCAATGTCCTGAAATAGCTGAATAATGTAATAGTTGAATGGTTTCTGTAGCTGAAAGTAGGCTGAAGGAGTTAGATATTAAATGTAGTGAATGAAAGTGTATTAAGAAGAGAAAAGAAAGTAAAAACGCTTTGAAAAGCAGCAGAATATTTTAACTGCAAACTTTTGAACTAAAACCATACTTCACCAATAATGTATAAAATATGTGGAACATGTTGAAGTCAGTATGAAGTTTCCAGAAAAGTATAGGCTGATGCCCCGGCCACACGAGGACGAAAACGGTCGTTTGCGTTACTGTTTAGTGTCATATAGACCGTTCGGCCACACGCGGACGACAGAATACGGCACTAAACGACTGCGGAAACGATAACGGGTCCCAAGGTGGATAGAACGGCATACGCAACGCTCTGGGGGGTCCAATGGCTCCGTGTGTACGCCCTATACGATCATTTTCTGATAATGATGAGGCAATAGCCCCGCCTCTCCCCACCTCTGCTGCTCACCCCGCGTCAAAGTAAACTGCACACTGAATTCAGATTATTTATCTTTATCTCGATATGGACATAAACGCGAGTGAAGTCTAATCTGACAGGACGGAGACACCTCTCAAACTACCTAAACTAGTTATAAATATGTTTATTTTTACTGTCGGCCGGGTCACTCATTACTGGATCAGCTGCTGCATGAGACAGACACTGGCGCTGTCCGAAGAGAGGGAGGAAAAAGAGAGGCTCCATGTATTTTATTATTATATTATATAGAGTCGTTATTCATTTGTTTTAAAGCTCAATAAATAACAAAGAAGACCTTTGACCGGCACTTTTATAATTTTGTCAGAAGGTTTAAACTTTAATACACGTTGACTGGCGAAAAACTCTGCCCGGTTCCCTCGGCCCCCACCGCGGAGAATAAACAGAAGGGCAACCATGACAACCATGCTTCTTCGCTGCTTTTGTGGAGGAAGTTACAGCGCCACGTACAGGCTCCTGCATGTGTACTGCAGCTTCTCCAGCGGTTGGAGCTAAACGGAGCTGTCTCGTGTGGACACACTATCCGGATGACTATTGCGTGTGGACGGAAGGTTTTTTGCGATTGCGTTTGCGTTAATCCTATGCGTTTAGCCGTTTTCGTCCTCGTGTGGCCGGGGCATGAGACAGTCTGTTAAACTCCAGCCTGTGTCTTTGTGTTTGAGGTAACGACGTTATCAAACACCTGTGTGTGTGTAAGCCCAGAGATCAAAGGTTACCATGGTGACGACGTTATCAAACACCTGTGTACGTGAGCCCAGAGATCAAAGGTTTCCATGGAGATGTGCTGTGAAAGGAGAGCCTTTCCATTGTTCTGAATGAGAAATAAACCTCTTACATTTCTAACTATAGTTTAAAAACGGTAGCTGCTTTTGGTAAAATGTCATCGCATGTCAGGAGCCTGTGGAGCGTTTGAGTCTGCTTTTTGTGTATTTTCGGGTCAATGAGGTGGCATTTTTGGCAGATGTACTAAAGGTGTGCGGCTGCTGCTCTGAGGAAAGATCAGGCTGAATTTACAATGGGCCTTAATGGAGACATGTTGAACGTTTTTGTCACTTCATGCGCTCAAGAGGCATTTTGTTAAATTTTTTTGCTTAATTATTTATTTATTTTCAACGTAGGAGAAGTTTTCCTACGTTTTTCAAAGCACTCTAGACTTAACGAGCGGCGCAATACACACTGATGTTAAAATCTGAAGAAGGCCTCTTTACCAAGCTCCAAACTAAGTTAAATATCCAAAAAAGTGTAAAAGATATAAAAAATCTGAAGAACAAGTTTAATAGCTGAATGTCTTGTGACCGTTTTAAAGTTGGAATGAAGTCTCTAGCTGAAAGTATGTGGAAGCAGTAGCATTTGGCGCACGGTGTAGGTAAAAGAGGATTTGAAGGTTCCTCCCATTGAGTTACATGTTAAAAAGAGTTTAAAAAGCTGAATATTTCAAAAAGTATAAAATAGTTTGAAAAAGTTGAAATGTCTTGGCATTTAAAATAATCATACCTCTTTAAATTGATATGCATTTCAAGTAAAACAATGCATTTGTTAAATTATAAGCTGTAAATTAAATCCAATCAGTAGTTATTTAAATCAAAAGGTGAATTATAATCCATGTCTCCCCCTCTCTCTGTCCAGGCGGTGGGAATGTTTATGGGGGAGTTCAGCTGTCTCGCCGTCTTCTACATTTTACTCTGCACTGACAGACGTAGACCCGAGCCCCGGATAAACCCCGGCCAGAGCTTCCACCCTCTGCTCTTCTTCGCCCCCGCCATGTGTGACATGACGGCCACCTGCATCATGTATGTTGGTAAGTGACCCAAACAAACAAACAAAAACACCTGCTGGAGGTTAGGTAACAGTGACGAGAGACTCCACAGTGGTCATGTGATGTTTTTTGGTGGACATTAGCATTTGAAACTTGTGTCCTGATCTATTCTGTCCTTCAAAGGTCAAATGTAATGACTTAGGTCACATTTGCAAAAACACAACAGATTATCTACTTCTGTTTAAAAAAATCCATTCGTCAGGAAGAAGATAATTAGATCAAAGATAATGTTGTTTTTTTCTGCGTGGTATGCAGCCAATACCTTTTAGCCTTTTAGAGCAACATGAGATTATTTATGTCTATTAATACACATTTCTTCGTTTTTTTTTTTGCAGCTCTCAACATGACCAGCGCCTCCAGCTTCCAGATGCTGCGGGGAGCCGTCATCATCTTCACCGGCCTGCTCTCCGTGACGTTCCTGGGCCGACGGCTGCAGAAGAGCCAGTGGCTCGGCATCCTCACTACCATCGTGGGCCTCATCATCGTCGGCCTCGCTGACTTCTTCAGAAAAAACAAAGCCGACACGCACAAACTCAGCGACGTCATCACAGGTGAGGAGGATTTTCAACACCCTAGAGCAGTGGTTCCCAAACTGGGGGGCGCCAAAGATCGCAGGGGGGGTGCCAGGCCTCAGATGATTTGAGGCCAAATATCATATTTAGACTTTTTTTTAACATATAATTGTAAAGCAATACATGATTGTCACTAAAAGCCTTGTCTCTACATTACAATAACAAATACAAAATAATTGATTAATTAATTTGAATAACAATTCAAGTTAGTAGCTATTAAAGGCATAAGAAGACTAAAATGTATATTTCTTTCTTTAATAGAAATGTTTCTTCTGCCCGTAAATTGTCCAAACCGGGCTTTTCTGGATAAGCGCATTTTTAAAACATAGTCATTGTCCATGCCGGTTTCAGTTGGATTATTTGTCACAGTTGCTCCGATCAGATCGGTCTCCTCCATTTTGTAGATTATTTACGACTTTTGAATCCACATAAACACATCGGCAAAATCCGGTTTACTTTGAGCAGTGTTTTAAACAGTTGAATCCCTTTGTGAATTGTTTCCACTTGCGCCGCCCTTTAATTTCTTCATACAGCGGGAATCCAAATGAATTAATCCTGAGTCCAATAACCATCAAAGTCACTCCAATAGTGCTCCTTAATTACGCTTTCATCCTCCTTTAACAAAATACTTCACATTCATCCAGTTTGTGACAGTAGTTGTAGCATTTTTGCTTGTGTGTGTGTGTGGGGGGGGGCGCAACTTCCAACAGGAGTCATTTGGGGGGGCTCTTGGGAAAAAAGGTTGGGAACCACTGCCCTAGAGCATAGGTCGGCAACAGGCGGCCCACGTGGACCATTGTTGGTCCGTCAGCATTAATATTTGGCCCGGAAAATTAGCTTTGTTTTGAAAGAAAAGTTTTGGCTCATCGGACATTTATGAGAGAAAATCCCGGGCATTCCACTGGATAATAACTGCAGTGATTTTAACAATCAATTACTTAAATTAGCCTTTGATTATGTTCTGGCCCGCCATCTAGTGGCTCAGATCTTTTTTGGCCCAAGGCCAAACTTACTTGCCGACCCCTAGCCTAGAGCTTTGTAGAGTCAGAATATATTGAAAAAATAAAGATGTAATGTGCAAAAACATGTTTACTTCAGTCTGTATTTGTTTTTGTTTAGCCTTTGAAAAACATTGCATCTCAGATTAGCTGGACCCACATTTTAAATTGCAATGTGCCAGGTACAGGTGCACCTGGCATTTAAAGGGAATGAGGGATGAGTCTCTGATTGGTTGATTTCCCAGGTTCACCCAGAATACACCTGTTTTGCCTTAATTTACATCAATATTTAGTTTTGTTTATTAAGCAAACAGGGAATTTAACACGCTATGAATGCACATGTGCCGTGTTCTTACGACCATGCATTATGGATACTTTAAAACTGGGCCCAAGGGGTTCCAGAAAAGAAAAGCAAACTAAATGTAGCCTTTATATATAGCCGTAAAGAACCAGTATCTACTACTCGCACCTGTACAAGCATCATAAAGAACTAAGCCTCAACCTCATTACAATATTAAAATGTTTTAACCACTTCCTCTTTTCGGTCCTGCAGGAGACCTTCTGATCATCATGGCGCAGGTCATCGTTTCAGTGCAGATGGTTCTTGAGGAAAAGTTTGTCTACAAACACGATGTCCATCCTCTCAAAGCTGTTGGGACTGAGGGTAAGACAGTCATTCATCTGAAGTTTACATGATAGATGTGATTTAGGACAACAAAAGGGTACATTTTCACCTAAAACTCACACACACACACACACACACACACACACACACACACACACAGGAATGTGATGAATGTAGATATGTTGAGAGTGTAGCCACATATATTAAAACATACAGATTTTGAAGGATCACCTGAAAGAAAAAAAGTTAAACTGTAGATATAGAACATTTAAAATTCTGCTCTATCTCCAGGTTTCTTCGGGTTCGTCGTCCTGTCGCTGCTTCTCATCCCGATGTATTTCATCCCCGTGGGAAACTTCAGCGACAACCCTCGGCAGGTCCTGGAGGACGTGCTGGACGCCTTCTGTCAGATCGGCCACGAGCCTCTCATCCTGCTGGCTCTGCTGGGCAACACCGTCAGCATCGCCTTCTTCAACTTCGCCGGCATCAGCGTCACCAAGGAGATCAGCGCCACCACGCGCATGGTGCTGGACAGCCTGCGCACGCTGGTCATCTGGGTGGTGAGCCTGGCGCTGGGCTGGGAGCAGTTCCACGGCCTGCAGGTGGTGGGCTTCCTGGTGCTGCTGGTGGGCACGGCGCTCTACAACGGGCTGCACCGCCCCCTGCTGGCCAGGATACCCTGCTGCGCCCATCTGGTGGCCACCGAGGAGGAGGAGGAGGAGGGGGGGGACAGCCCGGGGGAGAGGGAGAGACTGCTGGGGGACGGCAGGGTGCAGACCCCGGACGAGAGCTAAAACAAGAGGACACTCTGTGGAGGACTCTGTCAGGGATAGTCTGTTTTTAAATATGTTTCTTTCTCAGATTTGACACAATATGGGATAACATCTGGGAGTGGGCAAGCTCTTTAAGAGGACACGAGGGTAGTTAGTATCCATTTTCTAATCTCTGGGCAAATAACTCTTTTTTTTAAAGACGGATGGTAGAGAGTGATGTCTAGAGGAGCTTTTATTTTTACAATACGGTTTTTTAAAGGGATTTATTCAAGTGAGAAATGGAAAATGAATTTCTCAAACACAACTAAAGTCTCAACATTAGCTCCTTACCCCTTAAAATACTTCTTATTCTTAAAAAAATACTTGAACTGACAACTTCTCTATTTAGTGCTGAATCACTAAAACAAATACTGTCAGACAAGATGAACAAATGTCAACTTACTTGAACTTTTATTCAGATTTTCTTAAATTGATGGAGAAGCTTCTTGTTTATGATTTGAAAAAAGAAGATGCTTGGGGAGCTGGGTGCAGACGGGACACAAGAGCTAAATCTTGAGGACTCTTCGTCAAAGTCTTTGCACATTTGACAGGGATAGTGTTTTTTTAAATATGTTATAATTACACACTATTTTATAACATGTGGGAGTGTTCAAGCCATAATGGCACATTTCCACTGCAGCGGGGTAGCCCCGTTTAAGCGTCCCTCAGCGTCTTCGCTCAGGCCTCGGGCTGCCTCGCTGGCCGTCCGAGGCCGTGGCGCATTTCCATTACAGTTTAGGACCTGGGGTAGCAACGCAGTGTAGACGGGGCGATCGGCTTTGTTTTTGTTCACATTTCGAGTTGTTCCGTCGAGCTCCCGCTGGATTTTATCATCCCCAATGAGATGTAGGAACGTCGTCACCTCCTCGGTCGACCACGGTGTGCTTTTCTTTGACGTTGCCATTTTTGTAGCTCCTCCGTTTACAAAAATGCTGTGTATAAAAATGCTGCAAGCTTGCTTCTAGATATATATGCGACGCTAGGGATGATCTCGCGCGATTTTCTCTGACCAATCAGCAGTCGAGAGTGTTGACGTCACTAGTTCAGCCCTGGCCCTGGTCTGATAGAACCATGATTTTATGGGGCCGGAAAAGAGGGAAAAAGTACCCGCTAGCCGGTGCTAGGCTATATGGAAAGGCCACCAAAAACTGGCCTGGCAGCTTGAGGACGGTTAAGGACGCTTAAACGGGGCTACCCGCTGTAGTGGAAATGCGCCATAAGAGGACACAACGGTACTTAGTATTAATCTTCTACCAAACTATTTGCAAGAAAGACAATTAGTTATTTTTTTTTTAAGGGATTTATTCAAGATGGAAATGGACAGTAACGTTTTTTAACAAGATAACAATTAAATCCCGGCATTTGATCCTGACGTACATACATTACATACTTAAACTGACTTTTTTAATTTAGTAAAACCTGGGTTTACAATGAAGAAATGTCAACTTCAATTTAGTTTTGTTCAGATGTTCTTAAATCGATGGATATGTTGTTTTTGATAATGTTTTTAGAACAGGTTTTTATTGTTTAATTGTTGCTGTGCAGTATGATTGTGCCAACATATTTTCACTGAACCAACAGAGACGGGAGTTTCAGAAGTTCAACATTTTCTTTGTAATCAAACAGAAGTCGTTTTTTAAATTTGTTTAGTTAAAGGTGGGGTATGTAAGTTTGAGAAACCGGCTCGAGATACACTTTTTGTTATATTCCATGGAATGCTCTTAACATCCCGATAGCAATGAATATCTTAAGTGCTTTGACAACAAATCGATTAAAAAATGTCATCTGTGGAAGCCGTAATACTGTAAAAAGCACGACCACTCATTTTAGCCGACCTGGCTAAAATAACTGGAAGGCCTACCTGCCTGTCAGCCTGCCATCGGGGCACAAACTTATCTCGTGCCCTCATTGGTCATGTGCGCGTCCGTGTGTGTTGGAGGAGGGGCTCTGTAAGGAAGTGGCAGATTTTTTCCGGCTGTGTATTTTCAAATGCTAGCACACTCGAGCTGGTTTCTCCAAAATTACCTACCCCACCTTTAAAAAAAAGAAAAAAAGAATTGAATGAGTGCAAAATCAGTTTTTCAAATGTCTGTATATTCACTTTCTGCTATTTCAATTTGTGTTGATTTAGTTGCACAGACGGACATGTATCAAATGGTCTAAATCCTGATTCTCATCTCTATTTAGTATTTTAAAGGCTGTAACGTACACTAAGAAAAAAGGGAACTGTCATTTAATCACACTTGTTGAATGATGTATCAGCATTTTTACTCAGGCATTTGTAGACCTGCAGTCAATGTGATATTGTATTTGTATGCATGGTCCTTCTTCTATAAATATGATGTAATGACAAAAAAGAGATTTTTTTTAAAAATGCACTTGTAAAACAACCTACAAAGTCTTATACAATGTTTTTTCTGCTTGTAAAATATTTGCATAAATAGTTGACCCAAAGAAACATGACAAATACGTTTCTTTCCAGCTTCCCTTCGGTGAGTATTTGCAGACTTTATTTTGCCATATTTAGTTAATTGAATATTTTTCTAAATGTTTGCCCTAAAAAAAGATATGTGAAAATAGGCTTTCATTAGTTAAATCAGGGGTGGGGAACCTCCGGCCCCCGGGCCGTATACGGCCCGCGAGACCATTTGGTGTGGCCCTCGAGGTAATTTATAAACACACGCAAAAAAGAAAAAAATTAAAGAAATCTAGACCGCAAAATAATTAAACAAGTGAGTGCCTGTTTTTCCTGGCCAAGGTCAGGGTCCTTGAACACAACACAAGCCTAACGTGTCATCACGTGGTATATGTCTCGTCTGACAGGGGTGTAGTTCTGACGGGGAGCACCAGAACGCCGCTCCGCTCCGGCACTTCCAAAAATTGCAGTACCGATAAGGAGCCGTACACATGCTGCAGTTTCTGCGTGGCTGTGTCTTTAGTTGAAAGCCCAGTGGCGATCTGTTCATCTGTCATTCTGATCATACAGTCAATAACTTTGTTGTTATTAGCATCTGGTTAGCTAGCTATGCTAACGAATATAAGAAGCTTTTTCTACAACCAGTGAGGTAAAGGCACATATTTATATGATCATTATAGTTATACAACAAATAAGAGAATAAAGTAAACAGGTATAAAATACTATATGACTGTAAACAAAAGTTGTTATTAATAAACAAGAATAGGCCTACAGTTTGAAAGGAGAGCGATTTGTAAAATACCCAAAAAGAAAATCTGCTTACAGTTCTGTTTCATCTGGGTGCTGAGAGATGTATCCATAGATCTACTAATGTTGCTCTCAAAGTGCACCAGATTGTTGCTTTTAACTTCAACATTTAAAAAAACAAATCTTCCCGGGGGAGCATGCCCCTGGACCCCCCTAGAGGAGGTTAGCCCCCCCCCCCCCACACTTAAATCATGTTCACAGGAGTCTAAATACATTTGCACACATCTTGTGTCCATATCTTTCTGTTTGGGTGGTCATGCCACAACCGAGCACGTGCATGTGTGAGTCATGGCAAGATATCTGGATTAAGAGGTTGCTTTTTCTTTGCACAGCATGAAAGAAAGGTGAAATGAGTGGGCTGTGATTTTAGTATTTTTAAGCAGAGGTCAATAATTTGTACGGCCCTCGGAGGATGTTGAAAACATTGAAATGGCCCTTGAGATGAAAAAGGTTCCCCACCCCTGAGTTAAATGGTCAATTTGAGCATTTCTTAACAATTCATACGACATAATGATTAAGCTATTATATGAACAAATGACAGCAGAATAATTGATAATGACAATAACCATTTCTTGTGTATTTTACAGTGTTTGCTTACTAACATAGTTTGGATTGATCAGGTGTTCATCCGAGGGGGGAAAGGAAGACGGTAATGATATTGGACGCTTTATTTCACTCTTTTAAATGATGTTAAATGCATGTATAATGAAATATCCTTACATTTAGTTTCTCTTCTTAGAATCCCAGTTTCCAATAAGATGAAATTCAGACACATTAGTGATTAAGACGTTCAGCAGTGCTGATTCGGTGTCACCGCTCGGAGCGGCAGCAGCTGACACCTGCCGACACTTCCTGAGTCAGAGCTGCTTCCTCCCTGAAGACCGCTCCTGTGCTTTAATGGAGGTCAAAGGTTAAACGCAGAAATCCCCCAGAGATCTGCACACCCGACCCCCGTCCAGCTCCAGGAACAGGATGAAGGAAAAAGTGCTAATTGACCAAACACACATGAACACACTGTTTGAGAAGTCAATGTCGTACAACAACTATAACCAGCTGCACAAGAGGGTTGACTTTAATGCAGTTGTCAAGAGTAGCCTACCTTGATGACATCATGAACAAAATAAATCCAAAATGTCCCATTCAAATTCTTTAATCACGTATAGATGTACAGAGTAGATCGATTATGGGTCCTGCTTAATTGTGTTTTTTTGTATTATCATATTTTATTAGGTTCCTTTTTTAAAGCAGTTTTTCAGTTTTAAATGAACACACACAAACACACATTGATTGTCGCATTAGAACACTAGATGGCAGCATTTTACTAAGAAATGAACACAGCTCCTCGTTTTGTGTTCTGGTTATGGGCAGCTAACTTGTCAATGCATTGAGGAAAGGAGACATTATCTACGGTAACATCATAAGTAGCCTACTAAGAAACACGTGTTAATTGTAAACGTTTGTGTAGAGAGAGATTTCAATGGCTATAAATATCCTATATTTTTTTTGATGCACAATCCACTGGACGAAATATTAGTAATCCTAAAAAACGTAATGTAGCAATATCTTCTAGAATAGCTATTACGTTGAACATTGCATATCAGAGTTTTAGGAAAACGTTATTATTTCTATATTACAAAATGTTATAAAGTCTACTTTCTCTTTTTTTAGAATAAACTACATATTACTTGTTATGTTAAGTGTATTTTACCGGGTTAGGAGCCAGCGTGAGCATAAAGCAACACATATGTAAAGCAGATTTTGTTTTAGGGAGATGTGGTGCAGAGTCGGATCAGGATTTATAGCCTCTGATAAATAAAAACGGGGGATTAAAATAAAATAAGCCAAAACAGTAGAGAAGAGACTCCTGGGACAGCATGGAAAAACATTTACAGTAGCTATTTTCTGGACAAATGTGTCCCAATGCGATGTGTCCTCCCCCGAGACAAATTGACCTGCTGCTTAAACCCAGAGCAAAAAATAAGCCTGTGAAAAAGATAGATCTACTTTTCTAATGATCAATGTACAGAAATCAGCCTTTTTTCATTTGATACACAATAATAATGTTTTAAATAAAGATCTTTATATAATTGATGTCATGTTTTCAGGAGATCTAACCTGTTTGTTTTGCATCTTCAGACCTGCTGCTGCTGCTGTTTGGAGTTTCTCAGCTGATGAATCGTAGGCCTATTTTCCCGTCTATGCTGCGGATTGATATGCCGAGATGTGAACCATTGCT